GAGAAATCAGCTGATTTTACGAGCGGGAATAGTACATCACCTGGGAGGTTTTTTTTACACTAGGATGAGCACTTTTCCATGCACTTATCAAAGTCGATGATTGTACACGTTAAACCGCAGAACAAAGAGACGTTTCTTTAATTATTCTTTCTCTTTATTTTGTGGCGAAAAGGTACAGAGTTAAAGCTAGGACCTGGAAAATGAGAACAGGGATGAGGACAGGCTATATTTAAAAACATTACCCCCTGTAAAAGATTTCTGACCCATTTTGCTCCGCAGTTAGAAATACTGCCTACAATTTCCCTGTAATAGGAATAGGTACAGCAAACCATTTTACACGTTTTTCCATCCTAACGTAAACATGTTCGGTGATCGAATATTTCAAAAATAGAAGCAGACCATCATCAGACGCATCCATAGGTGCCATATCTCACAAGTGCGTGAAGCATTTTATAAGATTCACCAGAAATCCTTGAAGGCTCCATACAAGTCCCCAGTCGCGGTCACGACTGAAGGTATTCTAGAGATGATCACCCATCAATAGCAACATTAGCATCACGTGTGCATCAAGGTCTTCAGCCTCGCAACAATCTTCTTTACTTTCCAGTTTCCGTGTATTTTAACACAACTATGAGCAAAGGATGAGTGTGTGTATTCGGTAGAATGGAGTGAGATTATCTGTGTAGCTTTGTTACAGTACTTACTAAGATCAGCTGTTTCATTAGTCAGATCAGAAAGCCCAATGATCAGTAACAAAGCCCAATTGATAAGTTTATTAAATTGGTTGAATGTTGTGTGTCCTCTCAAATTGGTGTTTCCTTCCATTTACTTTCTGCGACTTTATATCGAAGTTTCTGTGGATCCTGAGTCCTTTCGAGATTTTCTAGAACAGTCTTCTTCAGTTTTTTCTGTTGCGAGTTCGTTGCTCACTTATTGTTTGTTGAAGCAACAGTAATCGCTCCTATGACTCGCATTGGCTCAATCCGTGTTTCGAAAGGCATGAAAGTAATCAGCCCAGCGTTGATTTCAAACACCGCGGTCCGCCCACGGTTAATTGAACCCGTGACACCACGTATGCTCACATGATCACATTACCGTCCACTGCCACTGCCTATGTGATACCGTCGATGATGTCATAGCGATCACTTATTGTTGTCAACGTGGTTATTTTCGTAGTCAAAGTGTTATTATAGTCAAACAGTTCTAGTAAATGGATTATTCATACAGTAAAAATGTAAACTATCAAACAAACAATATTTTTTACATAGAGCATTGGCAATCTAAAGTGTGCTCCCAAATATCAAAAATATTAATGATTATGATCAAACATATTAGCTATGAATCAACCGAGTCAATACAGTTGAAAAACATATTGAATTAAGAAGGATGTTTGATTAATAATTCCATTACTGTCTGTTTATACTAATTTAGAGGTACTAAATCATACATAACCCAATGAAGGAATCGTGGGTAGTATTAATTAGGGGTATAAATATTCTCTATTTTAAAGTCACCTAAAAAATAATTTAGATTGGTTAAGATGTTCACTGTCATTCTTTAAAAATTTACCAATAATGATAATCGTGATAGGACGGTTTATTTCAGTAATGAATTTGATATTTCATTATTTCCTGCAATTAGAGTTTTGAAATGATCTCATGTACTATAACTTATTTCGGTCTGATGAACTTGCACAGGTTTACACGAGAAATGTTATAAAATTAAATAAACAAATGAGATCTACGTGATGGTGAATATGCGACGGTAAAAACTAATAAGCCTACAACTTATAAAATATTTAGGATTTACTACTAGACGGTAGAATCCAGTGTATGTGTTTGAATTCACCATTATTTCCATAAATCAGCATTTAAATATAATTTTTTGCAAAATCTATCAGTCAAATAAGGAAAGGTAACAATCTCCTCCTCCATATGAACCTTAAATCCCCCTGCCTCTAAATGTATGCTTTTTTGAGACCACAAAGAAATTGAGAGTGAAACTTACACTTGAATTACCATGCATTTGGAAAACCCTCAAGATATTTTTCGGAAAGAATATTTAATCGAATTGGAGTTAACTTACTATGTATATTTTTTATAACTTTCCTCTAGATATGTGAAATACTTATGCGTCACAGGCGCTGTTCGTGACTGCTAGAACGGCTTCTCCCTTCTAGGGCTTCATGGAAACATCTCCCCTAGCTGACAACCCTGGTGTCTCATGGTAGGTAAGTCTGTTACAGCTGATCTGTCAGGGCTTATCGCACCTGCGAGGGAAACGCATTTGGAGGGAAAGATATCCAATTGTACTACCCTTAGTTTGAAACTTGGGAACTAATGGTTTACTACTTCGTATGCCTACTGTAACCGAAACAGGTTATAAAGGTTTTTTAGGTGATATTTGGGGACATTTGAGATGTGAAATTGTAGATTATTTATATTTATGAAAAAAATACACAGTTTTGTGCGAGTAATCAATGTGAGAAATCAAATACATTGAATTTGAAGGCATAAGGTTGCTATAAAATTCATTGACTGTATGCCACACAGTATATGTTCCACACAGTATATAAGTACAAAATTGTTTTGAAAATAACTCAGTCGATTGATTATTATCCGGATCGAAGGACCAAATTCATTACTTATTAAGTTATCGTTTCGTTTTTATTATTTTGTGCGTTTCAACGTCGGCTGATATTTTAGTAGGGAATGGTCCAGAATGAGTGAAGTTTTTTTTGTAAAATATATGTGTGATAATTATCCGTCTTGAAGAACCAATATATTGTGTGGAACCACGTAATTTTTTTTATTTTACTTTCTCTACTAGTGTACATGGCTTTTGAAACAGCTCCTTGACTTTTAGTCAATTCCAGTATCATTTTTTACGATTTATTAATCGAACAGTTTGTTAAAATTTTTCCAACAATCAGCGATAAGATTGTAGGAAGTATCAATAATCGTTTGCCCAACGAATCACTAGTTTGTATTGCACGGTTTAGCTAGGGATCAAAATTTAATCAAAATCCAAACAATCGGATAAAATCCCAATACATATCTCTCTAAGATTAATCATGTACTTGAAAAAAAGAAGGCCGCCAACAATGTGTGTAGAGTAGTGACATCATTGACGACTGAGGACGAATCTTATAACGGATGACGCTACAGGTTATTCGTTGACCTTCATCAATATTGCGAATTCTTCATAAAGTATTTTGAAATGTTTATAATTTGCATTGCGTCAATCTCTTTGTTTTTTGGGGAAACAGTATAAACTGTTACAACTATCTTGTGACCGTGTGTTCTTTCCTGAAATGGTTTTATGCGTGACAAACAGAAAATGTGAGATCCGAATGACAAATGAGATCGTTGTGTAACAGATGGAATAGGCTTTCAGTGTCCGATTGCGACCCAGACAGAACAACCGGACAAGACAACCGACAACCCTTGAAGAGGCCCGGCCATGACGAGGTGTGAGATATCAGTAAAAACTATTTTTTTAATGTATATCATCCAGACACCTCAGCAGAATACTTTACTTAATATGTTGCCTTTATGATTCTTAGGAAACCCTTAGTTTTTTTCTTGAACAACGAGGTTTGCAAGTAGCTACCAGCAATCAACATAAGCATGCATTTGCCAGAAGAATTTACAAAGATTTGAAATAAAGTTATTGTTTTTTAAATTGTTTATTAAATCACCCTGCTATTTTTGCTACTTAAGTAAGTAAGTCCAAGGGAACCCATATACTTTTTTGGGGGGGGGGGGAAGGGGGAATAGTTTGCTAGTTTTTTAAAGCTATTTGTATACACGTTATTGCCATTTGTGTTGTTATTGAGAATACAAAATTACCTTGAAATTGAGAACAATGTTATTTGATGAAGCCTTTATGTCAGTGTCCTAAGTGTATCTTAAGCGTTTAAGGAATGTAAGAACGCCTACAACGTATTTCCTTTGATTTTAAAATATGGTACAGTTAAATTAATAACCGTAATATAATTCTGTTTGCATATTAAATCCACTGTCAGGATGATTAATGCCAATTTCTTCATTGTTAAACTCTCCCACTAAAACGGTTTTAAGTTGAGCTCTTTCCAAAAATCGTCGTTTTAAAAGTCGGTGTAAGTTGTTTAAGGAATGTCAATGTAATTATTTGGAAAAAAGTGAAGGTTTAAGGATGAGTAGTGTTTTACAACTAAACCTATTATTTTTACCACATACCTTCGGTCGGTGATGCTACCACCCAAACAAGAGCTTTTCAACACGAATCGAACTCGACGGCCCATGTTATACGGACAGCAAGAACGCGACAGATAAAACGTCGACGCTGAACTAAAAATTCAGTGCTGTTATACGAGCAGCAATAACGCCGCGTCGTCGACGCCAGGGAGCTGTTTAGGCCCATGTTATACGGACAGAATAAACGCGACAGATTTTTCATTTTTCAACGCAGCAACAGTATTGCACAAATGGCGCCTGGGAACTACCCTGTCGGAGGAGTATGGTGTGGGTGAAGCACGGATCTGCCGCGTAAAAGCTGCCCGTATAACAGTACTCGCGTCATTTCTGTCGCGTTTTTTCTGCCAGTTTACCGGTCCGGTTGCGTTGTCGACGCTGACGCTGGGTTTACAGTGTCCGACGCGACAGATAAAACGTTCGTATAACTTGCACACAGTGACGTCCATTGCTCGGTAGGCTTGGCGTCCACGCGGCGAAAAATCCGTCGCGTTTTTTCTGTCCGTATAACATGGGCCTCAAAGTAGACAAACTTTGAGAGCGGGACCGAGTGCCAGTCGTTACATCCTGCCCTCTACACACCCTTCCAACACGGTGAAACGGCAATCGGGCCTACCTGACGGTTTTGACAGTGTAAAAAATACGGCAAAAAATAGGACTACACTCGCTCCGCTTCCCACAAACTTTGGTCCACTATTCTATAGTCAACATACTTCATCATTTGACCAACAACACACTACTAAGGAAAATAAAAAATCTACTCACCCTGATGAAGGCGAAGTTTGATCTTTTCTGCTCCACGTTTCCAACCCTGTCGACTTCCTCGCCATTCCTCGGGTCGTTCCCCTCGCTGCAGAAACTCTGCACACTTGGACTCACACTGTTGAGGCTGATGTTACTCTTGTAGACTTCCTCAGGTTTGTCATCCTTCGCCAAAGAATCCAGGAAAGCTTCACTCTTCGGTCTACTGTCCCGTTTCAAGTAGGTATTCCTCCTTATAGGAGTCCTAGCTACTCTGTCTTTATTCGTCTTCTCACTTCCATCACTAAGAATATCTTCATTGGGAGGAGTCTCGGAAATTTCCTTTTCCAAATTCCCATCCAGTGACAACGCCAACGTTTTGTTCTTCTTTCTTTTAGGAGAAACACTGTTGAATTTCCTATTTAATCTAGGACTTTCTGAATGTTTCTCGATGCTGGATTCTTTCAAGATTGGTTTCGGCTTCGGAGCTATTTTTCTTATGTTCGGGTTGATTTGCAAGTCTGAACTTTCTTCATCTTTTTTCTCTGTTTTCGTAAAGGTTTGGTTTGTTGCCACTTTGTGTTCTATACTATTGTTATTTTCAACAATTGAAGATGTCACATCGTTGATCTTATTACACTTTAGTTCTTCAGCAATAATAGAGTATTTTGTAGAAGACAAGCTCAAATTCCTGACATGTCCTATTTTGTTTGATATCCCATTTAATTTCTCATCTTCCTTTGGAAGATGAATTACGTCGTCCAACTTACACTTGATTGCTTCGTCGATAAAGTCTTTTTTAGGAGATAAACTTAAATTTCTAACATTCCCTTTTCTAGGAGTCCCATTTAACTTCTCGTCTACATTATTTTCACTTTTTTTCATATTTGGTGTATCGCATCTTGAACTTGAGAAAATATCTAATTCTCCTTTAACAGGTGAGGTGGAACTGCATGGTGTGTTTTGACCATTTTCATCTTCTCCCTCCTCCTCTTCTTCTTCATCGCTGTCGACATCTTCCCGATGAATATCCGGAGACACTGAGAAACTCTTGACTCCCACATCTTTCTGGTAGCTGACCCAACTGTCGCTCTCACTGTCGCTGTCCCAAGCCGGCGAAGAAGCGTTGGAATGCAGAAGTGTCCTTTGCAGAAGAGTCTCCTGCAGAAGCGCCCGCTGCAGGAGAGCCTCGTTCACAGCAAAGTTGTCACAGTTCTCCAAGGATTCTGTCACATCCTCCTCGCTGGACTCGGTATCTCCAGGGTCACGGCAGATCTTGTGTTTAGCACTCATTGCAACTATTCATTTCACATCCGCGTTGTAGGTACTGCTAGAATTAGGTTTAGGAAAGGTTAGCAACGCGTAACGCTCAAATAAAGTGGAAGTTTTAGAATGTGAGTACAGTTTCAGTCCTTCAAGGTTTGACAATTTTTGAAATTGTGATTTGATATAAGTTTCTCAAAATCTATGTATAATGTAGATGGTAACTGAAACCTAACTATGTTGTCCCTTTCTTTGGTTGGTTACGTATATCCTAAGATACTACATACTATTGGTAAACTGTCTATTAGCCTATTGGAATCCGGTTTTAAGGAGGTTAGAGAAAGGTTAACTACGCAACATGTGAATAGTGAATGTTTTGGTAAACAAATAAAGTACCAGATGTCCCTAGTCTGTATAATATCAATCTGTCTAAATCAACACAACATGAATACTATAAACAGGTAATATTTTTATTAAGTATATAATTTATTTAGATAGTTGTCATAAATACTCCTACGACAATCAAACTCTCAAGTCTTTTCACGAACTTTTCAATGATAAGTCCGAATTTTTTATTAAAACAACTATCTTAGGGATTCAGAAAAATCAGTTTAATTTCTGGCAGTTAAATTTGTGTCAAAACCTGTACTAACCAAACCTATTTGGGGATTATTGACAGTCGGTGTGTAAACTTACTTCATCATCTAAGAATCGTTTAAATGAGTTTGCTTTTGCTCATATATTTTACAGGCGTATCCATGCAATATTCAAGGACAAAGGGATTTGACATATGTTTATCGTAAAGATATGACGTCATTTTGTAAGTCTAGATCTACGTGACTTAAGTCTGGTAAAGGATTCGCGGACCGAGGAGCGCACAATACCTGCTCTAATGGGAGGTCATAAATAAAATCCGTAGGGGTAGGACCAAGGAGCGCAGAGGTACCTTGCGCGCCTCGGTCCTACCCATGCAAGGAACTAATCCCCTAATTATACGGATTAAAAGAGACAATGGCTGGGTCAACCCTGCAAGTAAATCCCATTAGTCGTGCCTCATTGAATACACTACTTTAAAATGAAAATGTAAGGAGTAATTTTGAAACTATAAATACGTTAACAGAGACAATGCAAGATACTGTATTATGCATTCGAAGTAGTTATCTTAAAAACAGTCGGTTTTTGTCCTACGTTAATCAGCCCATTTTCAATGCAGACAAACTGCATATTTTTCTAAGTGCAGTTTAATAAAAATTAAATACTTATCACTAAATAGTACGGAACTCAATTTTCATTATTCTATTATAATTAAAATCATATTAGATTATTCGAGACAGCTAAACTTTCTCTCTGCGTTTCAGAACTATCAAATGTTTACATTATTTTGTTTTGTAGGTATACTGTAGTTTATACAATTTTGAAATAGCTTTGAAGGCATGACGACTATTAATTGCTTATAGCATACATGATTCTACGTGATTTGTTTTGATCATCGACCCGTGATTCAACCTTCGTCTCCGTCCTGTGGAAACACCTGACATTTTCTCTCGTGATAGAGGTTAGGATATTGAATGACTTAATATTACCGGACGTTCGTACTATTTAGGAGCAACGCATACCATTCTTGAAACTAATTCTTAAGAACAACATTATATTATGTTGTGCATTTCCGGATTAGGTGGGTGAGCCTACTGCTGAAAGTGATATTTGCCAAATGACAATGTGCCTGGGCTAAATTTACTTCAAAAAGTAGTGTTTACATAGGCTTTTTTTAAATTTAAAAATACTTTTTGTATAAGAATTACTTAGGTTTTTCTGAAAGTATATAGTTATAAATATCTGAAAATAAATCGATTATTTTGTTTAGTTTACTTTTTTAACTGTTGTATTGCCGACAAAAAAGTGTATCTAATGAAAACATTTACTCCTCAAGATCCTATAATTATTCCCAACTGTTTAGACAAGCACAAATTTGTTTAGTCAGAATTTACTTGGCTATTTCCAAAGTAATGGTTTAAGCATCGTTTAAGTAGATTTTATAGCCTCCGGATTACCAATAAATATAAACATAATTACTCTATTTTAATGCTAAATTCAAATAACAATAACCGGCACATACTCTAAAAGGAATTCTAAAAAAAGAGTAAACTACAAAAATTAAAACTTGTCTTTATTCAAGTAGTGTTACCAGTTACAAAGTAAATTATCTATTAAAAAAAATAAACTTTTGAGTCTAGAATCAAATAAGAGATAATAAGTAATGAGTAACTTACAATCAGTGACGTGGGTTTTTTTTTATTTCTTGCTGTACATCTAATAAGGTGACCAATTTTACAAATTCGTTACCGGTGCAGATTCCTAAAGAAAGTTCTATTCTCGGTTAATGTTAACGGTGCAGTCAACGGTTAGTGTTAACGCAGGGGTGCCCACAAGGGGGGGCCGTGACGCAGACTGCGTCATTGAAATTTTGGGGGGGGCTCAAAAAATTCAAATGGGGGGGGGGCTAAAGTTAATTGCAACAGTGTTCAACGTGACGACAATCCAAAATACATTACGAAATCGCCAGATAGAAAGTGGATACTTAATGACAATAGTTATATTATTGAATTAAATTGGTTCAAATAGGATTTTAGGATAGTTTAGGATTCGTGTAGAAAGTTATTATTTAAGATTAGCAAGACGTGAGATCTATGAGAGGGAGCGCACTGGATTGCTCAACTGCTATAATAGATAAAAGATAACGCGTGGTACAGACACTTCCAGCTACACCGCGACTTAAGCACAGCAGAACGCTTTGTTGACATAAAGCTCGTTAAAATACAATCAAGTAGCAAGTAGCATAGGCTACAATACTTTACACTATTGTGTATACTCGATTACCTGAGTTAATAGCGAGAGGGGGGGGGGATGAAAAATCCGGTTAATCCAATATAATATAAAAACAGATGACAAACTCATTAAAACGCTGTAAACAGCCATTAAGTCACGATTTACATTTTTATAAACGAAATTCAATATTGCAAAATCATTATTATTGTAAATTTCAAATCATTTTTCTTGGTTCAGTTGTACAAACGGCAACGTTTAAAATTGTAGCTAACTCAAACTCAACTAATCACTAGCCAAACATTACATTGCTATAAATAACGTAAATATTAAAGGAACCTTTAGAAAGTGTTATAGGTAAGGTACTGCTCATGATAGACAGATAGGCTACCGATAGGTGCTGTATCACAGCATAGGAATTGATAGATAAGTAATAAAAAAATGTAAAATTATATTTAGAGATAATTAAAACACTCTTAAAAAAGAATGGAACGAGAACAATCTTGTTATTCTCTTTCTTTGTTCTTCTGTTCATTAATAGGTTTCTCTTCAATTCATACACAAATTCAACAAGTCGCCATATTTAGGCCTACTCATTGGCCAATCACAGCCTTACTAAAGTTACCATGGTTATCACTCAATCACAGTGTACTGAGCATTATATCGTCATCATTCCCCAGCTGTTGTATCTGAAATCTGTTGTAACATAGTGCACAGCAGACAGAAGTGTATAACGGAGCAGACGATTGTTGGCGCAAGCGTTGTTTCCATTTCATTTTCATCAAAGGAGCTATGATGTTTCTAAAGGGAGAGAGAGGGGATCGTTATATCGAGAAAGACGCTGACAATTCGTTATGGATATTCTGGCAATAAGAACATCCTTAAATTGAGGTGACTTATAAAACTCTAATTTTATTTATATAGAAAGATAAGTTTTCCAGTCCTGTACAACACTGATTCACGGTCTTTTCCCTGTAATCAAAATTCAAGTACAACTTGATACACACAGAATCTCCGGTTCCCGACCTGGATGATGGCTAGTTATTTAATTTAATTTACAGTTACATATTAGTACTCGTGATAAATCAAACCCGTTATGTAAGCCAAAGCCACACGGTTATTAATCTCACTTGGTTTTGGATTTGCTTACAAACGTTATCGGAAATGGTTAGGGCCTACACAGTATTCTTAAAGAACATTTATGTAAACATATCAGTGACAGCTAGGAAAGGAATCTTTATCAAAACGGCTGTTCGTAATTTCATATATGACGTGTTCTCTTAACAGATTATTAGTATTTCATAAATTAATTACGTATGTAGTAAACATGGAGAAAATAAACTAGAAAAATCACACAAAATTGTATTTTTAATCGTCCGTTATTTTATTTCCAAAATAGTGAGGCCATATTTTAATGGCTATAAGGACTCTCTCGCCAATCCTGTGGATACAATTAAACCATTAGAATCATAATCGGTACTCTAGTTTTCTTTAGAGTAGGCTGCATAAAATGCCTTCTGGGCCGTGACAGACGGACATAAATGGAGATCAGATAAGACATGTTTCAACTTCTTCAATGCATAAAACATAAATAACCCAAAATATGTATAATTCTGAGCAATGCACAGACAAAACTATACTTTTATTGATAGATTAGCTGGGTTTGAATTTTAAATATATAAAAAAAATTATAAAACTTCTTTTATAGTTTTACAAATAGTGCTAGTGCTGGGCGGGGGAATAATGTTTCTCATTTGTTGTGTACATCATTTATGGGGGGGGGCTGTTGCTCAATTGGGGGGGGGGGTGCGTCATGAGTCTAGGGGGGGATGGGCACCCCTGGTTAA